TATTTATTTATTTTCGTCATCGTCATACTGATCGTCATCAGTCCTGGCCGCATCCCCTCTTTTGAGATGGAAAAATCGTGGGAGCCATAAAGCCTTTACACCCTATCATTAGTATGCATTAGTTTTCTCTATATAATTGACAAGAGAGAATTGGTTTAATAATCAAGAACTTCTCAAGTTGTGGTGGAGGGTCCCCAATAGGTTTTTCGGGATCCGGGATAGGGGTTATTTTAAGGCTTGGATCCGGGAATTTAAAGTAAGAGGGGAGCGAGATGTGGGATCGCTATTATGAACAGGACACCGGAATCGGCGATTTTGAGGAGCGGGATTTAGGAAATAATCACCTAAATTAACCGAGAACCGGGATGTCAGTTGACGAGGATTTATGAAGAAATTGATCTTCTCACTCCGTGAAAAGTACCAGGCGTAAAGGTTGTCTAGCATTTAAGAGGCGGTCGGGCTGTTCAGCGACAGTCTACAGATATTGCGCTAGAAAGACAATTATATCCTGAGAAGTGAAGTCGCCAATTTACCAAAAACCCTTAACGGCCCACAAGGTGACGTGGCATCTAAGACTGCTGCGTCAGTTGAAAAGCTTAACGGCCTTGAAAAACCCCCAGCAAGTCTAAGAATCATACCGACATGACGCTCTTAACCTGTTAAGTTGTATGACACTAAACGTAAAGAATAATCACTCGGTTTTGCATCACAAAGGTAAACTTTTCATGGTGTTAGATTACTCAAGAAACTTTGGAAACGCAGCCAAAGAGGGGGTAAAGAGGACAACCCATTTGGCGACGTACTATTTTACAAATCCAAATTCTTGGTATCCTGTACCCGAACGTGCCATGATCCTGTTGGCCATACCAGCAATTCAACTCTTAACACCTGTACCGATGGCACCACAGAGCATACAGAAGATGAGGGACTGGGCGCTAACAACGATGACAAAAGCTGGAACTTCTCTGTCTTATCTCTATCAGAGAAATTAAGCCCGGCCAACTGGTCAGCGTCGAACGCTCTGACTTCGAAGAGCAGCGAGAAAACAGCGGGAAACAAGACGAAGAGGAAGATGGAATATTTGACTACGATTCCCCGAGTGATGATGGTGACATTCCATCTTTGGAACAAGGGGCTGATTTTCACCTTGGAAGAGGTTCCCGCTTCGCAAGAAGTATTCGCTTCAACAGCAGAACTGTGTTCATTTAATTTTTCTTTATTTCCGTTGTTATGGAACCATGGGGTTGCCGTCACCTTTTGCGTTTTATGTACTTGTTGAAATCGTTATTCGTTTCTTTGATAATAACCTGTCTGTACTGATACGTTTGTTCGTGGTCAAATTTTAACGGAAGGAAGTCGTTACCGTGACTATAGCGTACGTTATTTGTGAAATACCTTTAAAACTTCTAAACTTAATTAACTATATCATCATTTTAGTGAAAAGAGATAACTTACGCCTTAGGGTGACCATAGACTTCAACAGATCAATGGTGGTTGAGAAAATCATCACCCACCGAAAAAGCCCTCCAAGGTTAAGGAAATGGACTAGGGAAAATTTTTATGGTCGGGATCAGGATTGGTCAGTATAAACCGTCAGGATTAAGGGATTGACAGAAAATTTTAGTCGGGATCTAAGGGGTGATCTCTTAAGTGAAATAAGCTACGAGGCACTCTACAATATTGAGCGTTTAGAGGCAAATGGTGTTAAGGCCCGGTCAAACGCACGCAACATTCCAACGCAACATCTTGCAACACTGTTGCACGCCGCGTACTGCACACGTTTGGCCGGCACTCTGTAGTAACATGTTGCAAGATGTTGGATCGAGTTTGAAAATGGTCAAATTCTTGTTGCAAATTTTTTAATGTTGCAAGATGTTGCGCACGTTTGGCCAGCTCCTTTATAACA